CAAATTTAAGTCTAAGAGCAATCGGGCTATATAAAAATAAGGCGAAGAGTGGCGAGTGATTTGTGCCGAACACCCAGAGGTCTCAAGCACACGGCTGGTGCACAAGAAACTTCTGACAAGCAGAAGTCAATTATTTGGCTAAAATTAGACAATGATTGGCAGGAACTCATGAAACAGAGCTGATGAAAGAAAAACAATATTCAGAAATTCCCAGTGAACTTCAACAAGTTCTCGAATAAATTATGATTAATGAAACGCCAAAAAATGATGTAGCTGGCAAACAACTGGCTGTCCCTTTTGCACAGAAATATCTTTATTACTGCAGTAAGACTAAAAGCCCACCGTTACGCCAATATATTATATATACCCATACCTGAATTCCACATTGGATGATTCGTCGACTGACTTGATGCGTTGTGCCATAACAACTGACGACAACCGTCGTAAGCGACGGAGTATTCGTCATCACCTATGCCGTATCCCTCCTGAAACACAAACAGTAGGAAAAAGGCAACGCTGTGTGCACTTACGTGATTCAAAAACTTGCTGTTCTTCGTCGCCCAACCAATTTGCATCACCCCGGGCGTCACGATAAGCGCTTCGTAATACCAAATCCCGCTGTTTACCGGAAACGTGCACCGAACACTTTCAAAAGAGGACACATCACATCGGGCCTACAAAACAAGTTCATCTAGTGAGAGAAATTCACTAGATTAGGTATGTTCGTTATTACCTCCAAACCGTTCGGCGATATCTTCAGATATTCGCTAACGTCGTTGTTGTTTAGCATGACGTTGATGCCGTCAGTTACCACGGTTTCGTACGAGTACTGACGTTCAGGAATGACAACTGAAAAAAAATTACGGTCAGGTGTGCTAAGAACAAACAAAGGTAAGATTTTCTTAAGAAGCCACTTACACACATTGTCGAGTACCCATTGTGCACAAAATCCGACCTGTCGCTCGACGTAGTCTTTAGAATGAAGCCACTGTTCCAACCCCGCGATTGGGTGAGGATCCAACGACAACAGTCTCTCGTTGATCGTGATCTTGTTTTCACCTTTAAAAAGCAGTTAAAATAGGTAACGGGGAATGCAAAAGGCATCAACAGATAAAACATCAAAGTCATTTTGCCGTAAGCAAAAGGTAAAGGTAAATGATGAACTACGTAATACAAAGGAAAAATAAAAAGCTGGACACAAATTTCACAAGTCGAAATGTATCATCTGCACAGATTTACAAACACAACGGCGAAATCGTCAGGACTCTGCTAGTAAAATTATCATAGGCCACGCGTGACAAAGCAGACAGGATAATGCTTCCTCTACACACAAAATCTGACAACAAATTTTAATCGCTCGGTCTCGAAAGGTAATATCACCTTTAACATTTTTAGTCATCTATACTCAGGACACCAGCAGTACACCTGGTACCAGGACGTTTGTGCACAGAAGTCGATGATCGATTTGATAATCGTATCGTCTGACTTAAGATGCTCAGTAATGGATGTATGTGTTAAGAGAGGTGCAGAGATATCAACCGATCATCACCTTATTGTTGTTACGCTGCGCTGTAGGAAATGGAGTACCATACGAAGATCTGGTGGCAGAAGCAAATCGCCGGCGAATCAAATGGGAAACATTACCTACGGCGCAAAGGTGAGCGAAATTTGCAAACATCGCACGACGGTTTGAGCAGATCCCGAGGATGACAACTGATGTCGAAACCGAGCGGTAGCTCTTTAAGAGCGGCATACTCGAGGCTGCCGCCGAATGCTGTGGATATAAACGGGTTGGCCTGCCGCCTGGAGGTCAGAAAACATCTTCATGGTGGAACGAGAGGTACAACTAGCAATTAAAGAGAAGAAAGCATCGTTCAAGAAATGGCTCGGAAACAAAGACTCTTCTACTCGCGTGCGATATGTCGAGGCACGCAAGGCGGCAGCCAAAGCAGTGGCAAAAGCCAAGGCTGATTCCTGGAAGAAGTTCGGTGAGCTGTTGGAGTCGAATTTTTACACGGCAAACAAAGTATTCTGGAAGGCCATCTGCCGGTTTCGAGGTGAAAAGACGGGCAATTTCAGAGTCTTGAAGGACAGGTCTGGACACCCTCTTACCAAGGAAGATGACGTTCTTCGGGGATGGAGGGAGTGCTTTGAGGAATTCCCTAACCCCGCGCAACAGCACGAAGACTCGCGTGTAGAGCAGGGTACGGATATTACTATCTCTGTGGATGAAATTACACAAGCTGTGAAAAGCTTGAAAAATGGAAAAGCCGCTGTTATTTATTAAATCCGCCGTGAAATGCTCAAGGCATTAGGCGAACAAGGCATGTGCTGGCAAACACGTGTATGTCAAGCTGCGATGACTGCGGGAAAGACACCAGCGGATTGGAGAACGGGAGTTATTGTACCCGTATTCAAAAAGGGAGACCACAAGGAATGCTCCAATTATAGGGGCATAACGTTATTCAGCCTCCCCATAATATCTACGCAAAGGTGCTGCTGGAAAGGATGGGCCGCGAAACAGGTGAACTCAAAATCCAAGAAGAGTAGTGTGGCGTCCGGCCTGGTCGAAGCACCTCTGACCATATATTTGCCTTGCGCCAGATTGTTGAGAAATCGTGGAAGTACGCCCAGCCGGTGTAAATCTGTGTTGTGGACCTAGAAAAACCCTACGACCGGATCCCACGCAACAGTCCGTGAACATGCATGCGAGAATACGGGACAGACGGCCAGCTGCTAAGGACCATCCAATCACTGTATCCTGAGAGCGGGTGCTGCGTCAGAGCAAACTGCGCTAAGTAGAAACTATTCAACGTTCGCACTGGTCTCCGACAAGGCTGCGTCCTGTCCTTTCTCCTACATGTTGTACATGGATAGGACAGCGCGATGCCATTACAGCACGTCACAAAAGGCTCCACCGAAAGGACACCACCAGTGGGAGCTTAAAGTTGGAAATTGG